ACCCGGCTTTCCGGATGTCAGAATTTTTTTTTGTATATTTGCACATATTTACGGATATCTCATGCACTTTGTTTAAAACAAGTAAATCTAAAAAGAAATACAAATTTGTTTTCTAAAAATACCTTTTACATAATATAAAATAAAACTAGTAAAACAATTTGTTCCATAAATTTTTTAAATTAATCATTTTTTTTAACAAAACAGAAGTTTTAGAAAATTATAATTTTTATAAAGATTTGATATTCCTTCCTTAATTTTATAAGTGATTTTATGAAAAAAAATAATAAAACGATGTGTTAAAATAATAATTATATAAAAGTAAACATTTAAAACTTTCTATATATATTTACTTGCCATGATTATTGAAATTCTGCCATTTAGCAGTGGCTAAATGGTTGATTAGGATGGATGCCACTTTACAATGAATGATAAATATATAGTCAAATCTAGATATCATGTAGAGAGACAATATGCTGATAAAGTATGTGTCCCTCTGGTGTATGTACCAACGGGTACATAATTAACGGTATTCACTTGGAAAATTTGTTGTCTTTCCAAGTTAAAGCACTTTTATGGTAAATAGTCACATGATGTTTATCGGTCTATAAAAAATTACGTGTTCAAGGTGTTCAGTGTGATATCCAATGTGTACGATGTGGGACAGAAGAAAAATCAATAAATCATATATTATTAATGCTCTTCACTTGTGCAAGTTGGGCCTCTCTCAAAGGTTCTATCTAACCCATCTGTTTTTTCCATACAATTTATTTTCAACAATATGGATTACTTATTCTGGAGGATCCGCCATGGATAATCATCAATTTGCTTGGATACTTTAGTATATTTGAAAAGGTCGCAATAACATGGTTTTCAGCAATTTACGTACTAACGCAAGAGATACTCTTAAAATAGCAGAAACATAAGCAACTCTATGGAGTGAGGGACAAGAGGCATTGGACACCATGTTATTCAGCCATTGGAAGAAGAAATAGGAATATTACCACAACGCCCATGGCGATGATGCTTTACGGATTCATCATGGAAGGAAAATGAAATCTACTCGGGACTTGGATGGTATAATACCTTACCAGGATTTGAAGGGCTAATGGTGGGAAGGAATACAAGAGCATGCCTGATAACTCTACATTCTGAAATCGATTCGCTCATTTGGACAATGGAGAGTATGATAAATTTACGACAGTTCCACGTGACATTTGCGAATGATTATTCTCAGTGCTGGAGATGGTTTCAGAACCAGAAGAATGGCCTGCCTTTGCATCATCTTTGGAAGACATTCTGACCCTGAAGGAGAGTTTCACTCACATTGAGTTCATACATGTTCCACGAACGCAAAATACAGAGGCAGACAGTCTGACACGTAGTTCCCAGAAACAGCTGTCCCTTGTCATTATATGGATTAAGAGCTATTAGTTTGGTTCGCAGAGTTAGTTGAATCGATATTATGTTGATGACAAACAAATTACTTTGTCTATCAGTTAATATGTTCTTACTTGTCTACTAGTGCGAGAGTTCATGTTTTACTTTCTACACATAATTGATATGTTGAGAGTTCTGGTAGTATTGTTATATTTTAACTTTACACAACTTATCCAAAATATGTTGTTCTATAACATTTTTGACTGTCAATATATACATAAGTATTATTTTGAGAGTTTATGAAATATTTTGAATTTTTATTTAATTCAATATAAAATATGCTATAAAATTCGAAGAAGAAAAGATATGACACGTAAAATATATGTAGTAGTTTAAAATTTTTGTTTAGTTCAATATTGAATATGTAATACTATAAAGTTTGGAAAGGAGAAAATATGATGCATATAGTTTATGCTGAAATATGCATTTGTCGTTGGTGATGTATATATGACTTTAAAAGATTTGTTTTTTTTTTTTTTGCAATGTTTAGTTGTTGACCAGCCTAATTTTATTCCCCAACTTGATATTAGGGTGGGCACAGATCGAAAACTACCATAATTTTTAGTATTGTGATTTGCTTCGTATCTTTCGAATATTTGATTTTCCAATTTATTTTGCTTCGGAGAAATACGGTTATCCAGCTTTTTGGATATCCAGAGAAATTTTGGATATTTACTCATATTTACGGATATCTCATGCACTTTGTTTAATACAAGTAAATCTAAAAAGAAATAAAATTTTGTTTAATTTCTAAAACTATCTTTTACATAATATAAAATAAAAACTAGTAAAACATTTTGTTCATTAATTTTTTTTTAATTAATCATTTTTTTAACAAAACAGAAGTTTTAGAAATTTTTTATTTGTTTTTAAAGATTTGATATTCCTTTCTTAATTTAAAACCTTTACAAGTGATTTTATGAATAAAATTAATAAAATAATGTGTTAAAATAATAATTATATAAAAGTAAAAATTTAAAACTTTCTATTTAATTATATATATATATATATATATATATATATATATATATTTGTATGAAAGTCGGAGCAAATCGGATATCCAGCTTTAAAAATTTTAATATTTGTGATTTGTCTTTGACTAATAAAATATCTCTAGTTAATCTATATTATAATAGTTGAGTTTCAAGACTCCTCAGCGCGCCACATCAGCATTAGGTGGGTCCCACTTTAAAAAATGTGAAAAATTGTCAAACATATGATTCGAACTCGGGTTATTAAGAAACAAACACTAACATTCATACCACCAAACTACAGGATAACTTGTACATTGATGGCTGAAACTAATATATATTTAACCGGAAGCCTTTGCATCTATGACCTCCTTTAAAGTTCGAGCCTCAAAGTGTATTATGAGTTTCATTTTTAATTGGGATTAATCACATTATATGAAGAAAATCCTCAAGTTTACAACAGTTATAGTTTTCCCATATTGTAAACCGTCAATGTTTAAAATGAGTTAAGATTTCTTTCACCATCGTCTCATACAGGTTTGAGTTACAGAGATACGCCATGTATCTGTTCGTAATCTATTTTTTTTCACCGGTGAACTCTTCATCTCCCCATCTTACATCGCTTTCTCATAAATGTTCCTGATTTGTATCCCCTATGTAAATCCTATATATATATATATGATTCTCATCTTTGATGAACCATGTCTGCATCTCCACAAAACTTATCTATTCCTCTTAACTTTAACCATCTTCTAGAAAATGTCTCTCTTTGCTTCTCCAATTCCTAAAACTAGCGTCACCGGCGTCCGTCATGTAGCCTTCGAGTCTCTCTGTCATGTTAAAGTAAACATAAGCCATACCAACCAAATTAACATATAGAACCTCAAATCATTCAATATGGGTTTTAGTAAACGAAACTAATAATAATAGAAACAAAGTCATACAACAAATTCAAACCTTCTTATTGCAGGTTCCGAGAACACCGAATCAACATAGGTTCACTGAGTAAGGAATTCGGTGGAGACAGCCTTAACTGAGGTGAGCAAATCTCTCTTCCATGTTGCTATAGAAAAACCATAATTTCACAAAATGACACACTAAAAACACAATCAGACCAAGAATCACAAGAGCTTGTCACACTGCTGAAGATGACAAGGAGAAACAAAAATGGCGAGTAAACAATCCAGTTTCAGATCTAAATTGAGACTCAAGACTCATCAAATTTCAAGTCCAATCATTTAAAACCCAACTACTACATTTTCATTGTATTCGAATATAAGTCCTATACGACTAAACTTTTTAATCCAACATTCCCATTGTTAAACTACCACAAAATATTTTTGACAAATACAAAAAAATAACTATCTTAGTCATACATGTATATAATTATATGAAGCATTAGCATTATTAAACTACAGTTATATATTTTCAAAACATGTCATGGCACATTGAAAACAACAAACTATATTTCTTTTCGGATAACAAAATTATTTTCTCTTCGTTCCCATATTATAGTTGTATATTAACAAATACCTATGTTTAGCTACATATGGTTATTAACTCACTAATAACATTAAGATCCAATTAAATCGTAAAAAAAAATGTAGAAATACGAACACATATGAATTTGTTAAACAATCTTATTTGTAAATAAAAACAGGTCTTTACTCACTAATAAAGATTAATCTCTCAACATTCCACACAACCCCTTAATAAATACGTTTCATCTTTCTCTCTTCAATCCATTAAACTATATTTCTTTGTATAATTGAATAAAATCTTTAAAAAGAATTTAAAAATGCTAATTCACTATTTAACAATAATATACTACCAACCTACAAATTAGACAATGACAACATAATAAATCATCCATCCTGGACATAAAAGCACTAATAACACAAATATTCGAAAAAAGTCATTACTAAAATAATATATGAATATTTCAAAGCATATGAATTTTCACTCATTCATATATCAAGTCAATTCAATCGGGTTTTCGGTTAAATCCCAAACAAAAAAATGTCCAAAAAATGACAAAATCCCATCTATAAAACTTTATAACGCATCATCACTGTCTCCAGCTCCGCGCAAGCGTGGAGCTATGAACCTAGTATAACTAAGTAGGTAATGAAACCACCAATTAAATGGCTGATGCCATTGACTAGATTCTACATGCGTCGACCTTGACTCCTTTGTACATATAAGTATTTAGTTTTAATTAACATCACCAAATTAACAATTCGTCATAATTTAAGAGAGTTTATGTGAAGAATTAAATGCTGCGTTTTATTTCATGTCGTGTTCTTATTACATTGCCGACCTAAATAAGTGGTTCACCAGATGGTCAAACAAACCTAAAGAAGGGGTAATGATTTTGGTATTTATAATACATTATACTATTTACATACAAGAATCGAATCTCACGCCACTAATACAAAGAAAATACGTCGATAAACGAGACTCATAAATATTTTGCAGAAGACATTAACAATGAGTCAGGATTGGTTAAAAAGTAATTAGGGTAATTAGATTTGTTTAATCGGATTAGATTTTTATTAGATAAAAAAACAGAAGATTGAATGGACAGAACATGGATTCTATCTTTCTTTCCGTTACATTCCAGAGTATTGACTTTACTCAAAAACTTTCGCCTGTAATAAAAACTTTCTTATAGAGAGAGAGAAACAGAAAAAGAGATTCCGCGTTCTTCTTCTTCTTCGTCCTTCTCCTCTCTTTCCCAGAAAGTATCCTCCTTTTCACTTTCTTCTCCTTTGACTTTGTTCTCCGTATATATATTAATTACATACACCTTTGTGGGTTAAAATAAACGGAGCCAGAATCAATGGCCACGGCGGCTATATTCTCATCTCTGCGGCGGAGGAGATCCCCATCACTAGAAGCCTTTTTAGCCCCCGTTGACCTCTCCCCCATCGCTCTTATTCAAACCCTAGCTTCCATCTCCTCAGAGGTCGTCTCTTCCTTCACCGCTACAAGATTCTCCTTCCAACGCAAGAACGCTCGTTCTCTGATTCGTAAGATCGAGATCTTCGTCGTATTATTCGAATTCCTCGCTGAATCACGTTGGGACTCGACAAGAAGAAGCACAACAGCGTTGCTGTGTCTGAAGGAGCTTTATCTTCTCATCTACAGGTCCAAGATCCTCCTCGAGTACGTCTCTCAATCAAGTAAGTTATGGCTATTGCTTCAAAACCCTTCGATCTCTGGCTACTTCCATGACTTGAACCAAGAGATCTCGACGCTTCTTGATGTCTTCCCTGTCAACGATCTCAACCTCAGTGAGGATATTAGAGAGCATATCAATCTGTTACAGAGACAATCATTGAAATCGAAGTTATACATCGATAACAACGACGAGTCCTTACGGGAAACATTCTATTCCTTTCTCGAATCCTTTGAGAAGGGGGAGATTCCGAGTCTAACCGCTCTGAGAACCTTCTTCGTAGAGAAGTTAAGGATTAAGGATTCGAATTCTTACAGAACTGAAATCGAGTTCTTGGAAGAACAGATTGTGAACCACGACGGAGATTTAGAGCCGACGAGTTCAGTTATCAACGGTTTTGTAGCCATCACACGTTACTCTAGGTTTCTTTTATTCGGTTTCGAGGAAGAAGATGGAGTAGAGTGGAGAATCGAGAATCATCCCAAGGTTGGAGGAGAGGACACGATCATAACACAAGTTCCAAAGGATTTCGTTTGTCCGATCTCTCTGGACCTGATGACAGATCCTGTGATTGTCTCTACAGGTCAGACTTATGACCGAACCTCCATCGCTAGATGGATCGAAGAAGGACACTGTACTTGTCCTAAAACAGGACAAACGCTTATGGACTCTCGTATCGTCCCCAATCGAGCCCTCAAGAACTTGATCGTGCAGTGGTGCACAGCGAGTGGCGTTTCTTGCGAGTCTGAGTTTGTTACAGACTCAACAAACGAGGGGTTTGTGTCGGCTCTTCCGACGAAAGCTGCTGTTGAAGCTAACAAAGCTACTGTTTCCATACTCATTCAGTTACTAGCAGATGAATCGTCTGAACCGGCGCAAACCGTTGCTGCGAGGGAGATTCGTCTTCTGGCGAAAACCGGGAGGAATAACCGCGCGTTTATCGCGGAGGCAGGCGCTATACCGCACTTGCGCCGCCTTCTCAAGTCAGAGAATGCCATCGCGCAGGAAAACTCTGTTACAGCGATGCTTAACCTCTCGATATATGAGAAGAACAAGAGTAGGATCATGGAGGAGGAAGATTGTTTGGAATGTATAGTAAACGTTCTTGTGTCTGGTCTCACAGTAGAAGCGCAGGAGAACGCAGCAGCTACATTGTTCAGCCTCTCTGCGGTACACGAGTACAAGAAACGTATTGCGATGGTTGGTCAATGCGTCGAGGCGTTATCGTCGCTGCTTAAAAACGGGACACCGAGAGGGAAGAAAGACGCGGTTACAGCGTTATACAACTTATCAACTCATCCAGATAACTGCAGTAGAATGATCGAAGGAGGAGGTGTGTCGAGTCTCGTCGGAGCGCTCAAGAACGACGTCGTTGCGGAGGAGGCAGCAGGAGCTTTGGCTTTGTTAGTGAGACAGTCTCTTGGAGCTGAGGCCATAGGGAAAGAGGAAGGAGCGGTGACGGGGCTCATGGGGATGATGAGATGCGGGACTCCTAGAGGGAAAGAGAACGCGGTGGCTGCGTTGCTTGAGCTTTGTAGAAGCGGTGGAGCCGCGGTGGCGGAGAAAGTGTTGAGAGCACCGGCCATTGCGGGGTTGCTTCAGACGCTTTTGTTCACCGGGACGAAGAGGGCTAGAAGGAAAGCTGCTTCGCTTGCTCGGGTTTTTCAGAGGCGGGAACATGCGGCATTGAGGTCAGGCGGGTATGGTTTAATAGGGAATAGAGACGGCGATGGTTTCACGACGGATGTTTCTGTTCCGATGTCGATCTCTGTACCTGTATTGTGATCTTATGTGTTCATTGTCTGTTCATATTATATACATTTATTGGTTGGGAGGTATAATAATACAAAGTAAAGTTTTGGAGGAGACAATGTGTATATGTATCTTCCAGAGGAAACAAAAGAGTTTAGTGTTTGGTCTTTGTGTATTGTATTTGTAATGTAAGCTGTGAAACCTATATTGCATTGTGATAGTAACTACAGAAGTATATTGCGTTTGTCACAGATAATTATTTGAGATATGTAAAATCAAATAGAAGAGGGGATTTGCTTGCTTGTACTCTTCTTCATCGAGTTAATAGAACTCAGAAGTTGACAAAAAAGGAAGAGGGGATTTGCTTGCAAGGTAAAGAACGAAGAACATGCCTATATATTACATAGTTTCATAAAGGTGGGTTATATATGATTTGAAGATATTTGAAAAGATTTCAGAGTATTGACGAAAAGATAACCCCTTTAAGGAAAGCATTCAACAAAAAGAATAATTTACACATAACAATCTGCGGGTTGAAGTATATATGATTTGGATAGTGCACAAAAAAAGGGAAGTATGATTTGGATGGTCTCTCTCTCCACTTATGAAAGTGATAGAAAGAGTATTATTATAAATGACAATAGCATTTGAGAAGAAAGAGATAAGATATTCATTGCAAAAAATGAAAGAGAAAGAGAGAATCTCTAGCAATTGGTATCTTTTTTGTTGAAGTGGTGAGTTGGGGCAAATTAACTTCTTCTTTCTAGGATTTTGTTTCTTCCTCTATATTTTAAAATGCTTGCTAAGTGGATCTCATCATTGTAGTTTTAGCTTCTTTTATTATATAACTGTGTTTGTGTGTTGTGCATATTGTAAGATTATAATTTAAATGTGGATTTACAGATTTCAGTCTCAAAGTTGATCAAGTTAGAGACTTTCAGCTGCAACCTCTTATAGATCGATGATACGCGCAGGTCGAACATGTCATTGTATTGACGCTATATTATTGCTAATAATTTTTTCTAAAACATTATCATCAATTTTCATCCTACTTTATTAGTGGATTTCATGAAATGTAATTTAGAGAAACATATATATATGATTACAAATTGACATAAGTGACATCCACTATTTTTTTGTTCCTTTGTGAAGTGGATGTGACTCATTGTGTTTGTGACTTTTTGGAATCAAACATCATGTGCGTATGCCCAGTATCCTTCATCCATCATATATGAATATATATTTCATACATTTTGTCCTTCTTTTCGTGATTTTATATCTAAAGTTACATGCGTTAGGATTGTCCAAGGGACTCAAATTTTATTTAATCTCTTTACATCCTACTTGGCATGAAATGACGTTTCTACATACGAACTTGCAAATTTTGCATTTCTTTTTACAGATTCTTTGGTGTATTATCACTTTTTAAGAGATGCGTAGACATTTTTGATACCAAAGTATCCATTTACTCTCGGATTTATGGATAAAAGATGCGTAAAATATCAGGATAGAGAGTTTTGGCATTCACATGATAGATGCTTGATTCGCTTAACTTGACAGTTGACTAATCGTTATAAAAGGTTAAAAAATGCGAACTAATGTGGACCGCAATGAGTTTGTGCACAATAAGCTTTGACATTAACTACCTAATTCTATTATAACTGATAGAGATTTAACTATATTGTTATTGGAGGAAACAATTCTCCACTACACATTTAACTTTCTAATGAATGGTCCAGATTGTGATATGGTTTTAATGACAAGATATTTATCTAACTCTTACCCCAGTTGTTGGATCTTCTTACACACATTACAAATTGAGTTATTCTTGGGTTCACCCCCTAGGGTGAACCTCTAGGTTCACCATCCAATAGGATTTCACTATTTCATATTTGATATCTTTCAAAAAAGGAAACAAAATCTTGTTAAGTTATATTATGTTTTTAAAAATAAAAAATACAAAAATAAATAAAAAATAATAACAATTAATAAAAACGAAAATGATCTTTTTTAAAAGAAAATATTTTAACACTAAACCCTAAACTCTAATCCTAAAACCTAAACCCCTAGGTAAATCATAAACCTTTGGATAACTTTTATAAAAAAAAAATTCTTTAAAAAAAATGTTATAACACTAAACCCTAAAATCTAATCCTAAACCCTAAACCCTTGGGTAAATCATAAACACTAAACCCTAAACTCTAAACCTAAACCCTAAACTTTTAGGTAAATCATAAATATTAAATTTTTAAAACACTATAAGATTTATCTAAAGGTTTATGATTTAACCATGGATTTAGGGTTTGTGATTATAGTTTAGGGGTTAATGCTAAAATATTTTCTTTTAAAAAGAATTATTTTCGTTTTTATTTATTTATTTATTTTCTATTTTTATTTTTAAAAACATAATATAACTTAATAAGATTTTCTTTCCTTTTTAAAAATATATCAAATATGAAATAATGCAATCCTATTGGATGGTGAACCTAGAGGTTCACCCTAGGGTGTGAACCTAAGAATAAGTCTTACAAATTGACGGTATAAATTTCATTTCGTTCCTAAAGTCAACTTCATCTCCTCTTTTCTTTGTTTTTTCTATAGTTAATCTCAGGGCTTATCATTTTTGTCTCATAACTGATTACTGTTCATAAAGAAGAAGATTTGTTCTCTAACACACAAAAGATAGTTTTTTTAAAACTCATTGCTGTTTTATTTCTGCAGATTCACCATGGATGTCCATGTCATGGTTATCCTTGGAGAATTGCCCTTTGGCAAGTCTGTTTGGAGCTTTGTGAACGGCAAGAAGAAGATGTCAAAGATTGTACCCGTTCGTGTAGGGATGACGTTGACTGAGTTACAAAACAATGTCGAGAAAGAGTTCTTCACTTTCACCGACCATGCTCCTCCAACTGTCATGAGTTATTGGCCTCCAAACATACAAGAGCTTGCCACCCGGATTAACACACCTCTGGTTATACTGACAAACGATGGCGATATATCCTTCTTCTTCAGTCACTTAGCTCACCCAAACATGAACTTATCCGTTGTTTCAGTATGTACGTTCTTGTTCAACCATGTACCAATAACATTGTACACTTTTGTTTTTCCCAACCTAAACATCCACACCATGTACACGACGCAACATCTACACGTACTTGTACACGAACTTTTATGTACACTCACTTCATACACACATGTACAAATACCATGTCCATAGCTTATCTATAGTTACGTTCATGATTCAACTATGTACACTACCATTGTACACATTTGTTTTTATTATGTCCACAACATGTACATGTAATTGTCCATGAACTTATATGTACACTCACTTCATACTTACATGTACATGGTTCAACATCTACACTTACTTGTACACAAACTTCTATGTACACTCACTTCCGGTTAGTGCTTCTATGGGCCCACTACCTCAATTTTAAAAGTCAATAACCTAACCAGAAAGTCCAAAAGCCCTTCCCCATTTTACCCCCACTAGTTATATATTTTATAAAGGCAAGTTCAGTATTTTCTCACAAAAACTGTCCATGTAGAACAAACTGGTCTATCTTGTAATTAAAAACTCATAACGGCCCTCAAGTGTTATCAACTCAAAATTTTACTAATCTAAACAATTTTTTTTTTAATTTACACTAGGTAGTAATCCGCGTTGTGCTCAGGATGAAGTAATGTAGTGATTATATATTGTACATTGTATTTACAGATTTATCGTATAAATTCTTAGGTATGAATATTCATATATCTATTCGAATTTAGTTAGTTTATTCAGATTATGAATTTTGAAATTAGAAATTTAAATCTTATTCGAATATTTACAAATTTTAGTTTACATTTGGTTAAAATCATTTCGGATTCAATCTAAATTAGAGTCTAGATGCCCATTTTAATTACATATTTTCAACAAAACTCCAAATATACTTAAGTAATTTAAAAATAAAATAATATGAAACATAAAATTTTGAATAATATATGACTAAATATTTAAATTTGGATAAAATTTAATTGAATTTAAATATATGGATAAGAAAAAATAAATATTATCACTATTTTGAACATTTACTGTTATGTTTAGATATTTATTGTGATTATGTTGATAATTTTTAGATATTTTCATATTTCGGAATAGCTAGTAGATATAAAATTTAAAATAATTAATATATTGAAGTATACAATTATGAATTAGATATTTTGATATCTAAAATAATTTAGTTTGTATTAGATTCGAGTCTGGTTATTTGGATATTAAAATTTTAGATCCATCTGGTTACTTGATTAGTTTTTGTTTGTGTTTAATATTAGTTTTAAATCTAGTTCGGTGTGATTCATCGGATCCATATATTTACCTATACTTACTTTCTTCTACTAATATAAAGAAAAATAAATGTAAAACAAATATCTTGGCTTATTTAACATTCATAATCATTAGACTATACCTTAAGAATAATAAAAATGATTGGACGTCGTGACAATATTGTTGGGCATGTTGCAAAATTGATGTAGGTTATAACTAATAACGTGTATTTTCTTATAAAATTCTTAGAAACTATAGTAAAAACACTATACAATAGTTGTGTTTTTATTCCAGTTTTCTTAATTCATAAACAATCACAATTATTTGTTATTTTCGTGAACAGAAACCGCAACCATAGCCAAGTTCAGCAAGATATGAAATTTTCAACCAAAGCCAAGTTCAGCAAGATATGAAATTTTCATTTTCTAAGAACATTTTCATTCCAGCATTTTAGTTGATGCGAATCTTAATGATTTTTTTATTTAGTTCTTTAAACTGATATTATCCAGTAGTTGTTCAAAGAGAATTTTAATTAATTTCAGTTCACTATTACAAATGTTAAAAATGCATAAAATAAAAATGAACTGATTGAAAAAATAGAATGTGAATATATTAAATTGTCTACAGTGTAGTTAAAAAGATTAAGGTGTGAACGCATTAATTATTAAACGATTGTGAAGACGACACGTCAGCATATTAAAAAATATAGTATGCGCATTATTATGAATGTTTCTCCTTTAATATATAAGGGATGCCCTATCGGCACCGATGAAACGGCTGATCTAATTATATCCAGAAAGCGTACTTAGTATTATAGAATTTACTAACTTGAAAATATACCACAGTACTTGATGAGTTTAAAATACTTCTGATTAATGTAAGGAGATGAACTAATCATTCATTACAGTTTGCTATATTAAACACATACCGAATTTCATATTCAAACTGATTAACTAGTAATAACTATAGGCATAGACCTCGCGCAAACGCAGGGCAGGGTACATTTTTTTGGTTAGTGTGTTGTATAATTGTGTGCAAGGCATTTTGCCGTTTGTTTTTTTTCATGTTGTTTATAATGGTGATGAATGGAACATTGAAAATCACACAACTTGATTAGGTCGATATAATAATGGCTGACGAATTCACATATATTGATATTTTCATATTTTGTTTTGGTAATGATTTGCTTTTTCAAAAGCTGAAGTTTATGGGGTTGGTTAGTGTTTACTTAGGCACAATCAAAATTCTATAAATTAATAATGTTGGAATTTTGAAATTTTATTAATTTGTAAAAATACTAATTTTTAAAAAAAAATCTTATTATTCTTATTTTAAGATATATTTATTCTAAGATAAAAAATATTTGATTTTATTGTACCGACATTAATTATTATATTTCAAATTTGATATTTATATTAATTTTATTATATTATTTTATGTATATAATATTGCATAAAATTTAAATGTAGTTTTAGATGTAATATTATTAAATCTCGTCAAAAAATATATTAAGTGTTGAAAATATAAATATAATTCTACTGTGAATATAAAAAATAATATAATGATATGTTCTTACTTATATAAAACATGTATACATACATGTATAAGTCTTCACAGCCTCTGTCTATTATAGATTTATTAAAGTTTATTGTATATTTTTATAAAAAATATTTTATTATTTATTAGTTTTGTTTTATTTAAAATAAAAGTTTGTACATATATAACATGTTAAAACAAATTTTTATTGTAATTTTAGATCAACAATGTTTATTCACCAAAATTATTTATCATACATCAAAACAAACTTTGAAAAACTTTGAAAATATGAAAATCAAATATGTATCTACAGTTAATTTGCTTATAATATAAAATGACAAATACTAGTTATATTTTTTTAAATTATCTTTGTGTAAACTTAAATGATTTAGAGTTAAAATCTCTCTATATGTAAGTTGTTTGAGAGTCAATGCTAGCATTTGCAGACTTATTCATCTATGTTGGTTACAATATTCCTATTTTTCGTCAACTATAACAACCAACGACTTTGAATGTCAAAGCTTACTGAGACTATTGTACTTTTGGTAATTATATAGTTTTGAAAAATGTTATAAATTAATCGTTTGAAAACGTATGGATATGTTTACTGAAGTTGATCGATGGCCTCCAATAGTTAAGTTGCTTCCAAAATTATTCTACAAATTTCGAACTCACTCTAAAAGAAATAAACAATCTCCATCTCTCATATACCAATTTTCACTACATAACAAAGAGCATAACGAAAGATGGAGCATGAGAGATCACTGTGTTTATCCAACAAAGACTAAATCTTTACCACGTTACTGTCTTCTAAAGAAAAAAGAAGAAAAAATATATTATTTACATCAGTCTCAAGCTTCCAAGATTACTCTACAACTAATACTATTCCGAAAGAGTAACAACCTTTGTCTATCATTCACTACATAATATCGAAAAACATTGAAAGATCTTAAAGACTTAAGTTCCTTCACTCATACCTGACATCGAAATCAAGTAGCTGCATACGAAATCATCCCAATTTTCCTAGCATAAGCAAAAATCTCACGCATCAATCACATGCCCAGCCTCACCAGTAGCCTTAAGCTTATACTCTTTCTCCATCGTATGATTAACCAAAACACGATCCCATTCCCTCAACTCCACTGTCGTGACATCCCCGTCCTAGACTCATCACAAATCCTAACCTCTGAATCCAGCGGATAAATCTCCCCAGTCACCACCGAGTTACCAAAAAAGATCCTCGCGTCACTTTGCGCCACCACCGCCTTCACCCTTACTTATTAATAAAACCACCGGCGCAATCCTTGACGTTATGCAAGCTATCATTCAACTTTTTTTCAAGCAAAATAAGATCCAAAAAACTCATAAGGTCAAGTTCCGTACCTTTGGGTCTCCTAAAAACAATGAACCAAAAAATGATAGACCGAAGCTTTAACACAAGATCAAACACAAGTTTCTTACTCAATTGCAAGCTGTAATCTCTCAAGTTCGCTCCTCAAAGATTTGTCTGTCCGAACTGCAACAATAGAGTCCATGTGAGTAAAAGGGATAAGAAACATTTTTGGTAGAAAGGATCACTGCTTATAGATAACATATACATATACCACATCACCATTATTCTGAGTACAACAAAGTATAAGTTGTTGTTCAGCAGTAGCAGCACTATATCTAGCTTACTCTCAACCCGTTCATATTTATAGATTTGTGACGAAGGAATGGAGACGTCGACATGGAATCTGGATCCAATGTGAATAACAATTATGGCAGAATTAAAACAAATACATTGAACCATAGGGAAAGTATAGAGATACCAAAAAGGAGGCGAAGATATGAGTGTGTAAAATGGAGACGGCGAGCTTGAGTTTCGAAAGAAATAATAAGATGAAAAAGCCTTTAGTGGGTGATGATTAAACGCAAAGTGGCCCACAGTCTTTATAAAATGCATATGTGGATATTGCGAAGCCCATTAAAGAATAGAACAAATATCAAATAGAAATCCACATGAAATACAAAAAAAAAGATTTTAAAAAATAGTTGAGATTCATATAGCTGGTGACGTGGCCCCTCTGAAGACTGGTTTCAAAAAAAGAAAAAAAAATTATCTTACAAAGATAAAACATGTAAACTGTCATATTCGAATCTAAACCCTTAGAGACCAAACACTATACTTTAACCAATTGGTCAAACTGTAATTTGTTGTACATAAACATTTTAGCAAGATTATAGACTTGCTAAAATAAATATATAATTTACAAAACTGCTGATATGGCGACCAATGAACCTAAAAATTACCTCATTATAATATAGAAGATTTAGTTCTTAACAAGCATCAAACTCATGACCACAAGAAATATATGCTACCACCACTTGGATAAACCACAGCGTAACCTTGTTAATTAGTGATAACATTCAATATTTGATTCATTTTATACAACAATTTCAGTAAATCGATTTTTTTTTCCCCAAGAGAATAGATTAATTTAATTAGATGACTAATATTTGTAAGATATATATACACACTTAAATATCTAATAATACTATCTTGTTGAATGATTCAATATTGAAAGATCATGGGCATTGCATTCGGAGTTTCATTTCTTTCTAGATTTGTATTACATGACGAAATTCGTAGTATTTTAATGCACGTTGTTCAGAATATTGAATTGACTTCACCGTCACATGCATGTTGACTAGTACTTAAAAAGATTAGACAGAAATGTAAGATCGATTCAGACGTTGTCGAACTTTCTAAACCGTTTTAAAAGCTAGTTAGAAAAATGTTAAGACATACTTAAAGGGGGAGACTATGACTGAACTAAAGGGTAAAGTATGAACAGAGCAAGATGTAGTCTAGCTTCAAAATCATGTTAAACCCAAAGCTAGAAGATTCTTTAACAAAACGTTTAAACACAATGAGAGGCAGATTAAGGAAAAAGTTCTGCACTGATGAAATCAGAACTGGAATGTTTCCCTAAGTTAACAAAGGGGAGGAGACAAAAAGGATGATGATTTATAATTAAATACATTCAGAACATATCCATTTCCTCTTCAGCCTCACCACACACACCTCCTCTATAACTTAAAGAAGAAGCTGAAGAAAAACACACAACTCTTTCTTTTATTTTAGTAAGTGTTTTGCCAGAGCTGCTGCTGGGTTTGATTCGAGGGCTGACCTCCTGCACCCTCTCTAGGGTTTTGCTGCTGGCGCTCGTGCGGCATTTCTGTTTGTGACTGATAGAAATTAGGGTAGCCATGAGATCCATACTGCTGTTGTTGCTGAGCTTGACGATACCCTCCTGCCGCTGCTTGCTGACTCTGTTGTATTTGCTGTGCTTGGAGGTTATAATACGCGTTAGCCGGAACACCTGACATGGTTCGAGAACCATGACCGTGATGCCACATCGCCGAGTTATCATTCTGAAAAAAGTTTAATCAAATGTCATGGAATGATTCAAGGTCTGAAACCAAGAGAAAGGTGAAAGGACCGTAAAGAGACAATTACCTGCTGCTGCTGGTGCTGCTGTTGTTGCTGCTGGAGTGCCAACAGATGAGTGTTTTCTTTGTATTGAGAACTCAAAACATCTTCATAACCAGTAGGAGCAGACTGTTGGTTAAGAGGGAAGTTTCCAGCGGATCCAACATTGGTGGAGTTTCCAAATCCATAAGCGGAAGCAGGAGCTGTTGCAGACTGAGGCAGATTACTGGGAGAGAGATTGGTTTTGTACTGCGGAAGTAATGCAGCTAGTTGTTGCTGGTGGTATGAGCTGTTACCCGCAAACGCTTGCTGGAAAGCGGATGGCATGTATGGATAGTTCTGAGGCATCATAGGGTAACTGATCATGTTTGCAAAGTGTGCTAGCGGCATTGTGGGTTGAGAGTAAGGATGCATTGGAAGCTGTTGAGGAAGAGTTGGTCCAGTTGCCACATTAGCACCAGGTAAGTTTTGCTGCGTTGACTGTGTCGCCGGATTTCCACTGCCTCGGAGCGCCTGTAATGTCAGAGAATATATAAATTATAATCAGACAAATTCCTCTTGTTGATCAGAACCAAATCCACAAAATCAATTTCTGAACATAAAACTACTATTTTTTAGTCTAGCAAACATTGCTGCATTGATTCCACGATTAACAAAGTTCAAGACATCACTACGTACTAGTTACTAGTAGACAAAAGTTTGTAGAATGCCATATCATCTTTTTCTTAAGGGGTAATTTACCTCTGGCATGGAAATGCTTTGGCCACCAAGTGATGAAGCATTGTTGCTACCTCTTGACTGCATAGACTGTGCAAAAGGAGAATACTGGAAGTCAAGATCCCTCGCATTTTGTGCAGTTTGAGCCAATAAACTGTTGGGAACTGAGTGTGCATATCCCTGCTGAGGAAAACAAAAAACACAAACAAGAACCAATATTAGCACTGCTATTAGAGAATTTCGAAGGCATTCTAAGCCTCATCACTTCACAGATCACAAATGAACAGCCTGAATGCAATATTCAGAAAGCAAACACGGTTCTCTTAAAAGCTATCATAAATAATGCACATGTAACTTACCATCACATTCGATAACGAGGCAAGATTCTGTGCATGTGTCTGTGACGCATCGTATGAAGTATTCAGCTGCTGCTTAGCGTAAACTGGCCCAGACTGAGCAAATGTGTACTGGTTCTCCTGAACAGTCTCCGGGTTTTGCATCTGATTCTGTGCATGAGTCTGTGACGCATCGTATGTGGTATTCAGCTGCTGCTTAGCGTACTCTGGCTCAGACTGAGCATATGCGTACTGGTGCTCCTGAACAGTCTCGGGGTTCTCTTGATTCAAGACCTCTCGCCTAGATTCTAAAGAATCATCATAACTTTCAGTAGCAGGTGCGTGGCCCATATCTCCATTGGCCGTGCTTTCAAGATGCTCATCTCCATAGAACTCAGTATTTCTGCAAAGCAAGCATTGCTCAGATAAAAGTAAAACCCATAGGAATATTTTGGAAGAAGGAAGCAGTGGTAATGGGATACCTCGGATCTGAATGTTGGATTTGTTGAGCTACATCAGGGGTCTCTTCTGCGTTGTTGCTCAAAGGTTTTGATCCAAAACTTCCAAAACTTAATTGTGAGCATTCTTTTGTATGGATTAGCAAATGATTTGGAATAACGACAGCACGTCTATCCTCTTCATTTGAGGCTCCTTGATCATTACTATCTACGGTTAGTTGTTGAAAGTCGGCCGAACCAGATGAAACCTCATCTTCATCTGTAAAGTAATAATGAAAAACTGAATAAGAAACAACCAAGAAAAAACCATCAAATATACACTGAATTGACCATTAAACCCATCATCTACGGGTTTTTCTTTTTGCAGAACTTCAAATTGACCATTAACTCTTCTAGCAATCATTGTGATTTATTTGATGAAGAGACACATTGTCATTCACCTCAAATATACAGAGAGTGCTCACAATCACATAACCATCAAAAGAAAAATCAGACAATCACACCAAATTTAATCCGAGATAAGCACTAAGAAACATGTAAACAGACTTAAGATATTACCTTGGTGGTGCTCTACAGGATGGCTCTGCGTCTGATATGCGTACTGATTCTCGTTAAATTCAGACGAAACTCCAGAGTCATCTTCTTGGACATTTTTACCAGAAACCGAGTCAGGTTGCACTTGATCGACTCCAAGATTCTCAGAAGGGCCATTTTCTGCTAAATGCACATTTTCTAGCCGGTCGCTCAGATGTTGATCTACTCTGGCGGATCCGTCGCATACCTCTGACTCTGCTGGTGCTGCTGATACAGAAGATGTACCAGGAGCTAGAGGCTTCTGAATCGACGGCCACTCTTCTCTAACAGGGACCTGGTGATTTGCATTAACTTCATGCTCGTGATTACTCTCAGAACGCATACTGACATTTTGTTTTGAGTTTGTTGCCTTGTTCTGTGGTCTACCCATCTTCACAATGTCAGCCATAGACATCTGGCCTCGAGGTCCAAACCATGCAGTTTGATGTCCAGACGCAGGCTGTGATAGTGATGTTCCATCGCCGGCAGTAGGTCGCAATTTATTTTCCGTTACAACAGAATCACTGCCACAGATATAGAAGCGTATATCAGAAACATGCACAACATCCCAAATGGAAATATGTACAAAACAAAATTTAAGGAATAAAAGAAGAGTTGAAAAAGCAAGATTTTGACAAAGAAACCATGCCTAACCCTCTTCATACGACCCCTACAACTACACATCATGTAAAACATTTCATTGCTAGCTTCTAATTAATCAAACTACTATACATGAAAGATTGTTTAGTTATAAACTTAATTCATTCAAAAATTAACTATCCGCAGACTGCAATAAACTAGTAAAAGTAATTGTGAAACCTACAAGATAACTACGCCATAGATCATATAAGCACTTTAAAACCTCAGGAAGAGTTTGAGACAGCTAACGTTTCTTTAAGAACAAGGCCTAAGGTCAAACAAAATGATCACAGAACTTAAATTTCATAACCTCTGTATTATGATACACTACTAAATGGATCCTACCAATACAATAATCAACAGAATGGTTGAGATGTGAAACCAATTATTTAATTTAATCAATATGAAGCACACAAAAGTTCCACTGATTTTTTCAGTTGCTTCTACTTTCAAACTGCAAAAGAAAGAGACCACTCAAGGGAAAACCTGTGTGGTGGTGTCTGCTGGTGGTTTGGCACTCCAGAAGCAGAAGACAAAGAACTTGTGTAACCCTGAGTTCCACTTTCTTTCTTGTTTGTAGATTTTCCCTGGTAGTTTCCAGAATCTGAACAACAGAAGCACATAAGCATGAATCCTACAGTTAAAGCTATATAAACTTAATGCACCAAAGAGATCGTGTTTATACCAGTAGAGCTGAGATGGGTAGATGAACTTCGTCCAGCATAGCGATCAGAACCACCTCTACCACCGCGGTTGTATGTGTTATTACCACCACGTAGCCGGGAATCTGGTATATCCCTCGTCTGAATAAAAATAAAAGACTTTAAAAATAGCCAAGTAAACCAAGTGATACTAACTAAAACTAGCATTAGAAGGGAATATTCGAATACTATTAGGCGTGTCAATGTACAGAACTGTAACTAGAACAGCAGATAATCGTACTAACACACAACAAATACTGCCAACTAGTTTGCATTAAAATGGCACAAAAGACATTGGTCTATTTGCGGTAAGAAGGGCACTGACTCTCACCTCTTTCTTTTTCTCTTTTTTGCTCTTCACTTCGTGAAAAGGATCTGGACAGAGAAAAAAAAAGTATCAGTATCACAAATACACGCCAACTAATAAAGACAAAACCTTCCACAAGTAACAAAACAAAAACAAACTTTCACCAAAGTAACAAAAACAAAAACTTTCACCAGAAAGTATGAAAGAAGACGAAGTTTAACTAAATGAACCGTACGAAACTGAAGATGAGGAACCAATCACCAAAGCTCGACACATTAAAGGCTAAACAGCTTTACATTCTCCACAGAAAAAAACTTTCATACATCAAAATTAAAAACCCTAATCAAACCCCAATTGAAACCCTAAACAACCAGCCAATTACGATAAAACCCTAATCGAGAAAAATGCAAAACCCTAAGAAAACGAGGGGGGGACCTTGAGAGAGGAGGCGATGAACGGCTTCGTTAGGATCCATATTGCACTCTTTAAGCATAGCATAGATCTCAGCCTCGGGAGAGTTCACCACTTCCTTCAAGCTCTGTACTATTTTTCTAGACCCTGACGGAATATCGTTTATTCCATTATTGCCTTTTCTCCCTCCGCCGCCGACAACGACCTTGACGCTGCTGCTGCTGCTCATCTTATCCGCCGTGGCCTGCCTCTCTCTTAACTCTTTCTCTCTCTATATATATATATCGGATCTGCTGGATATATATCGAGGCTCTGTGACTTTTTTGTCAGCCGCGAGAATACGAGACAAGGGGGAGGAGGAAGAAGAAGGAAGCAGAAGGGTGGAGATATATAAGGAAACCCTCTCGAGATTTTTCACCGTCGTATTAATTTGTTTTTCTTTTCTTTTCCTCTTTTCTTTCTCTTTTTGAAAATTGTTAAATTCATGTACCCTATCTATTTAATACTAGGTGATTTTCCCGTGCTCATGCACGGATATAAATATTCATAAAAGTAAAATTTTATAATAATTGATTGATATTTAGTTTTAGTTTTGAATAAACATATGCATAATTTATATTAATAAATATTATATTATTTTAATTATACATATGATTTTGGATATATTATTGTAGGTTTAATTATTTTTTTGGATCAATAGTCGGTTTGGTTATCAATTTGATATATTGGATAATATCTATTTTTCGAATTCAGCTATAATAAAACTTTGATTAATTTTCTTATTTTCATTTCGGTTGGTTATTGTCTTAGATATGTATTTATTTTTAGATATGTAAATATATTATAGTTAAATTATGTATAACTTAATATATATTATGATTAAAATGAAATAAATAATAATATAAAGTGTTTGAGTCAAAATTAAATAAATGGATATCTCTATAATATTATTTGAGAAGTCAGTTTTTTAGGTGTCGCGCTCACGTTAACTCTCACGCTGGTTGTTTACTATGATACCCCTAATGAATTAAAATTATATTTGAATATTATTATTTCTTTTTTAAAATCTTCCAAATAACAATATAAAAAAAAGAAATATTTATAAAATTTACAAAACTATTTAAAAACGAAAAAATAAGTATATATATAATATAGTTTCATAAAAATGGAAAGTTTACAAAATAGTAATATTTAACTTACATATATTTTTAAATAACATAAATTATACTTCTTAAGTAATAAAATACTTTATATCTATATCTTCTTAGTTGAAAAAAATATTTATATATAATGTGTTTTCATAAAAAAAAGTTCATACAAATAATCTTGACATTAGAAAAAGAAATATTTTTTCTTTAAAAAATAATTTAAACAATAAAATATATATTTTCATAGTAATTATTTTTTATATATCTATCTATTTTATTAGGTGATTACAAAAATTAATTAAGTAACATAAACTGATATATGTATAATTGACAAAAAAATATAATTAGTATTATGGAAATATTTTTTTAGTATATTTATTTGATTATAATATCTTACAATTACAGAAAAATATAAATTATATTTTACTTATATAATATAATTTCTCAAAAACAATCACATTTTTACTGCATATTTTAAGAGATGTTAAAAACAAAACTAAAAATAAATTTAATAATAAACATATTTTGATCAAATAACTAGAATTCTTTTAAAATATCATAACACTATAATTTAACGAGGTAGATATATTATATTTTAATAGTTAAAATTATATTTTTTCTTAATAACTCTTTTGATGTTTAATTTTCTGTTTTTATGTTTGTGGAATTTAATATAACCATAATCAAAATACTTAAGCAAATCAGAATTCCTTATTTTTAAAATTATTTAAAATAAATTTCAGTTTACCATCCAATCAATCTAAGGCATAAATTATTTAGACTTTATAAATTATTTTAATTGTTGTAAATATTGATATGTGTTAAGATTCCAAAATATTATTATTACACTAAGGTCCCTAAGCAATCACTTAGAGGAAAACGAAGTGATCGAGCGATGACAACCAGGAGGTGGGCTTGGAAGCAGCCATCATTTGAAGAAAGCGTAATAGCTCATTGGTTTATGTATGTAATTTATAATCAGATACTTTAGTTTTTATTTTTTTCGTTCTAAGCACAAAAAATCTTAAAATACATAATATTACTAAGATATACTTATATTTCTAAGATAACAACCAACATAAATGTAAATAAAATAATTAATCAAAAATTAGAATAAAAAGATTATAGTTGAATTCAGAGAAATAGATAGAATCCAATATCTATATATATATACTAGGGCCGGTCTGCGCTACGCGCAGGATCTGATTAATGTATGATCTATTATACTATATAATTATTTATTTTCATTTGCATGTGTTGTATTTTATGATTTGCAAGAGGAATATATAATAGTGTTGATGGTTTTGATGTTCTTAGAGAGAAGCAAATTTTCGTGAGGGAAATTTATTTTATAAGCTGAGATTTGAATTTATGTTGATGTAGTTTGTAAAACAGGTTTTGTTAAATAGTTGGTCTCACAATGCACATTTTATTTATTTTATTCTTATAGTGTTGTATTTATATGGTTAATAGAAAAAAAAATCACAATAGTATACTGTTGTTGACATTTTCTCAATATAGAAGAAAAAACTGAATTAGAAATAAGAGAAGTTCTCTTTTTTTTGAACAATCCAATAAGAGAAATTTTCTAGGATAGTCTTTTTAGTATATTTACACAAAAAAATAAGATAGAAAATAATCAAAAAAATATTTTATTGAAGAACAAATATACTTTTATATTCTTATGATTACCTAATTTTACACCATTTTGTTTAGTGTTAATGGAGTTTTAGATTTAAAATATTCACAATAAAATAGAAATATTAAATTTTTAAAAATAGTTTCAAAAAATATTTTTGAATTTCAAAAAGAAAATTAAAAAAGTTTTTCTATAAAAAAGTACGAATCTGAAAACATATAGTCCAAAAAATATTAATTTTTAAATATTATTATTTATTTTATTTTTATATTTATTTATTTATTATTTATATATTTATAAATTAAGGGGCACAAAAATCGTTTGCCTCTTTAATGAATTCTCTTTTGGTCATTTTCATCTTTGAATGTTTTTTTGTGACTAAATTTTTAAAAAGTATTATTTGAGAGAATTGCTCTAGAAATAATGTGTATTTTAATCATTATTGTAGTTATTTATATTAATTTTTTTTCATGGTGGAAAGTTTGGTTTACAGGAAGCTAAAGGAATAATCATTTTTTTTCCTATATTTGTAAGAAACTATGAAACATAGTCACATAGAAGCAGATGCTCTTTCGCAAAAATTAAAGAAAAATATAAAAGCAGCACTTGGTATACAAAGAATTAATTTATTGTCGGTATAAGAGCTTACTCCATCTAATATTGTTTCTCTTGTTTTTCGTTTTACGGCTTCTCGGTGTGTTCCCAAACTTTCTCTCAATCTCTTTTAGTGTTTTGTGTGTAAACTCATATCCTTAAATCTCAATATAATACATCGTGTGTTCTGTAGTGCTAAACCAATTAGAAATTAATAATGTTCTTACGTTAATGTATATGAAAGAGCGACATTGGTGTAGTAGCTAAATCATTAAAAACGAACACAACAATTTTGGTGACCAAGTTCCAGAAAGGTTTAAAGCTGAACTATCTGGCTAGAAAAACAGATATACAGCTATGCATGTGTCCTCAAGTTCATGCGAACTTTAGGACAAATCTAAATAAAGTCATATGAATATATCTTGATTCTAAGTCATGTAGGTAAAAAATAAATGAAAGATACGGCCACACCAACGCTCTACCTAAACATTAATATTGAAATCTATGGAGTTTATATATATAAAAGAGGCTGTTATGATTTTCAATCCCACTTTGGTGTTACGATATTGAGATGAGTGATAAAAGCAGACAAAATTGATAACATTACCGTAAGGTACTCGGTGGGATCCGTCTCCTATAACTTATTTCACATAACTTTCACTATCAAAATAGATTTCTCAAACACATATATACAAAATCACCAAAAAAAACAAAGCAAAAAAACACTTCTTAATTGCTAATCTCTTGATATCCCTTTGTTCTTCTTCTTTTTGATGATTCAGTCTTGGTATAGAGCATGTACAAAACAACCTCATGTATTCCGAACAATGCATATATACAAAAGATCTTGTCTAATGCTATTTTCTTTAATTGTTGTGTGTATGTCGATTTGTAACTGAAAAACACGAATAGGAACAACAGCACATCTTTTGATTTGTATACACTGTCACGCAGAAGATTGTCTTCCAANTTGATGATTCAGTCTTGGTATAGAGCATGTACAAAACAACCTCATGTATTCCGAACAATGCATATATACAAAAGATCTTGTCTAATGCTATTTTCTTTAATTGTTGTGTGTATGTCGATTTGTAACTGAAAAACACGAATAGGAACAACAGCACATCTTTTGATTTGTATACACTGTCACGCAGAAGATTGTCTTCCAAAAACTATCGGAAAGTGAAAATGAAAAATGATCTCGGAGAAATTGCCTTTGCTATCTCTTGTCACACTCTCAGGCGTTTGTTCCAAGGATGTCCATCTCGCTCTCTCCGTTACCTGCTCCATCAGCTCAACGCCGCTTGTTCCGCCGCTTGTTCCATCGCACTCCGCCGCTTGCTATGTCGCTCTCGACCGCTTGCTCAGTCGCTCTCCACCGCTTGCTTGTTCACTCTCGTGACACGCTACAGACACACTCAATTAAATCATGAGTTACAAAACGACCTCACAATGGCAAAAGTAATCGAAGAGTAAGAAGCAGCCTAGGTTTCAGATTCTGGGTTTGAATAAGAAGCAAGCGTGTGTTTGGATTCTGGGTTTGAATAAGAAGCAACCATTTTAATTTTGATCAGACTATAAAACCAGACTACCTTCTTCTACACTGCCTTGTGCTCTTATCAGTAAACTTGGAAGCAATGATCGCCCAACTGAGAAACCAATCAATAACAACAATCAGAATCAATAAAACAGAAAACTTTGTCCAAGAAACTGTAAGAAAAAAGGACTAACTTTTGTGTTTCATGTAAGCTGATTTGCTGTCTGAGAATATCATCCTCCTGAAACAGAGACAAAACCCATCTCAGAGACTAAACAGAGCAATGAAACACAGATTCATTATTATTATTA